AAAATTCTAGAACCTTACTTATCCCGGGACTGGAACACAGAGTTGAAAGCAGACACCCAGAATCCCACACCTGCCTTCCTCCCTGACTCTGTGTTTAAAACAGTTTTTTCTGCTTCTGCAGAGCAGTGAGCTTGGGGAGGGCACTGCTTTTGCTTCAGAACCAAAGTGGGTGTCTGAAATCTGTTCCTCTCCCCCGGCTGCACACTGCCAAGGAAGCTGGTGCCAGAGGTGGTCAGACTGATCTGACCACGAAAGGGCAGGCTGTCATGGCAGGAGGAGGTAAGTGCAGGAGGGTCAGCCTCTGCTATCCAGCTAGGAACCGGGAAGAACGTGCAGGACCTTGAAACAAAGGGCCATTTGGCATGTCAGATGCCAGGTCCTGGGAGTGTGGCCAAACTCCCCCATCACCTCCTGCCAGTCCCTAAAGCCACCTTAGAAGATCCCAAAGCTAAACGTGAGCCTCTTCAGTGCCTCGCTGTGCAATTATGTTTTGCAAATAACTACTTGCTTTCATCCCTCCGAGGGGTATACAGTATACACCACGGTGGTTTTGGAAGCTTAAGTTTCAGATGCCAATGGAAATGAAAGTGGCGTAGGGTAACTGCATGAGGTCCATAAAGGACATTGGCGATGTTTTCTCTCCAAAGTGTGACTCATCACTTCCTTCTCATGCAGCTCCCTTGGGCTCAGAATGAATGGGCTGGTTTGAGGAGGGAGGAGGGAATGTGAAATTAGCATGTCAGTAGATCTGGAGATACCGTTTTTTACAAAGGATAAGGATCCGATCCCCTTAGGTTTGTGGCAGTGTCCATGTGGTCTAGAGGACAGAGAATGAGGAGAGGGGTCCCTAAACTGTTGGAGTCAGACATGGATAAATGAGCCCTTTACTCCTTGTAGTTCATCCTGTCGTCACAGCAACCCTATGGGATGGTGCTCACGATTCCCATTCCATAAGCAAAGAAACTCAGGTCCAGAAAGTTTAGGTAATTACCCATGGTCACATGGCTAGTTAATGCAGAACCAGGACGTGAGCTCAGGTCTTATAGACCCCAGAGCCCATGTTATTCCAGCTATGAAGTTTGACTGGTGTGCATGGAGGGGTAAACTGGAGAGTCTGAACTGAATGTGATAGGCCTAGGGGAGCCACTGGTGACTATAGAGGAGAGGAGTGGTGTGATTAAAGCTGTGCTTTAGGGATTTCAATCAGGCAGCCGTGAACAAGGCAAGTTGTTGAGATGCTCAAGTCAGGAGTGAACTACGTCTTTTAGAGGGACAGGTATCATAACCCCCTGATGTGAGACACCAGAACTCCTGACCCAGGGGGGAAATATTGAATAATAGTGGGTGAAAATAATAGTGACGTACACTTGTAGAGCACATGATATTTGATGGGTACTGCACTGGGTGATTTTATACAGAGAAATCATTTAATTCTTACAACTTAATGAGGAAGTGCTATCATTGGCAATAGGGTAGTGAGGGGTGAAAAGCTTGGAATCGTTCAGGCAGGCAAACCTGATTCACTACCTGTGTGATTCTGAAAAAATCATTCTACCTCAGAGTCTACTTATTCATTTGTAAAATGGGGATAATACTAGTACCAGTTTAGCAAGATTGTTGGGGGTGGGATTAAATGAGCTACAACCTAGAAAGTGTTGAGCCACATGACTCTTACAAAGTACTCCTGGCATGTTAGCTGGTATAATTATTACCATTGCTATACCCATTGTACAGATGTGGAAACTGAGGCCTGGAAAGATGAAGTGATTCTTCCCAAGGCTACACAATTTGGATTGGTACCTGGGCAGTCTGATCCCGGAAGTTACACTACTATCCATTCTGGGGGGAAGAGATTAATGGGGATCAGAAGAGGGTAACAAGAGAGATTCAGCTGGGGCAGGACAGTAGGGATGGCACAGGGCAAGGGGTTTGTACATACTCTTTCACAGGGGGCTTGCGCCAAGCCAGCTCTTGGCTATTGAATGGCTATCCCTATAATTACCTTTCTCCTTTCTGAAGTTTAATGTGTAGCCATGCCCTCCTTTCTCTACGTAGAGAGCCAGATAAGGCTGCATTTGCTTACAGTTCTGCTCTGTGCTCATGGGTGCACGTACCTGGATATAATCATGTCTAACTCATAGTGCATAGAGCAGAGGTGTTGGAGCATCCCAAACACCACCAACTCCCACATCTAGCATGTTTGACCTCCACCTCTTCACCAATACCAGTTATCCCAAAGAAGTGGGATAACTGGTAGTAGGTTGTCTCAGAGATCCTTTTTATTGGGTTCCAACTGTGCCCTTAGCATACGTCCACCTGAGAACTTTCTCCGTTCCTCATGTGCTCAGGGCAAGATGCTGATTCCATTGCCTTTTGCAGTCATAATGTAAGTCTAGTGACCGGCTTCCTCAGAGGCATCTTTGCTCCATGGGAATGATGACATTTCTTTTGTAAGTAAGGTTGGAACTTTTCAGTCCCATCCCAAGAGACACCTGACAGTGCTTTAGGTTGATGACTATAATTGTCTTGAGACTTCACTTCTGTGCCGCCTTCTGCTCGTGGATTCTTTATATTGTTGCCTTTCGGGGTATTTAATGAGGCTCTATGGGCAGCTGTTGAGGCTCACAGGACTTATATATTCTCCTTCTTATCGATAAAGGACACACTAAATATATCTGGGCCTTGGATGGTGACGTGGTTCCTCAGGATAGGGGGATGATAATGTTGAACGTTTTTATTTTTTGGACATGACATTCGAGAGCCATATAAAAAAAATACAGCCTTGGATACTGAATCTCCCCTTTCACTTTGTGTTTACACCAAGGACATTTCTCTTGAGCTTCACTCACACATTCATTCACTCATGCACTCCCTCACCCTCCTTCTCCAGACGGGTCGTGTGCCAAGACTTCTGCCAGATTTTGGGGACAGAGGGATGAGGCCAGCAAAATCTCTGCCCTTAAGCAGTTCGCCACCTTGTTGAGGCGTGATAGAAAGTGATTAATCAATCCAAGAATATTGGATTTCTCCAAAAGCTACTGTGGGGGAAAAGATAATTATCCCAAGTCTTTAAATGTTACCCCATTTAATTGATTTAATGATAGGTAAAATTCATAGAACTGTAACGTTGGAAGCGGCCCAGAAGGCATTTATTCCTGTTTCTTCTCTCTGCCTTCAGGCCGTGCTGCACTCAGATTACCCCCCAACCTCCATGCACTTTAGAAAAGGGGGTTGTTTCTAAGAACGATAGCTTTTAGCCCTTTCAGATAAAACTTCCTAGTCAGTGAGCATCCACAGGGAAGACTATGCAGACTTGTTGAAAGACTTGACATGCACAGCTACTAAGTGTTGTTCTGAAAGACATGAATGGAATCACCCCCTCTTCATGCACACACGCACACACACACGAAATGGAATCCTCGTATTTGTACACTTGAGGGTGTATTAAATGCACATGGTACATACAGAATGCAACATGCAAGCATGGCTGCAATATGATAAGGACCCTTGGAGAATTCTTTCAGTTCCCAGAAAAAAATATAATCTCTGCATTTGTCAAATCCTGTTTTGCTGTAATACAGAGCCATACTTTCTGTTTAGTTGGCATTTTTGCACCATGCCAGTGGGTCCACAACATGGTTTAAGCGCCTACTCTATGCAGATCTTCAGTGATCCCAGGAAGGCTGTGGTGGTATGTTGGGAAAGGGGCTGGAAGTGGAACCGGAACCTGAGTTTGGACGCTGACTTAGCCATGGACCATTCTGAGCCTCATTTTCCCCAACCAACAATACCAACTTCATAGGATCATCACGGGATTTGACGAGTTAAGGAGTGTGAAGGTAGTTTGGAAATGGTGCCACTGTGGGCACCACCCACTTTTTTTTCTAAATGGAAGTTTGTTCTCATGATCAGATCATGACTTGGTGAGATGTTAGGACTATTAGAGACCCTTTAACCCAACACAAGTAACCGTGTCACTTCCCAGTGTAAGAGCATTCGGCATCTTGCCCTTATGCTCAGAATAAGGTCTAACATAGCCTCTGAGGCTGTACGTGATGGGGTTTTTGCCAAGCTCTTCAACATCATCTCACCCCCCCCTACATCTCAGGCCATCATGCATTTATCTCCAGTTCCTGGAATAGTCAAGATGTATTCTCAGGGCTTCTCTGACTATACTGTCCACTGGCTTCCCCTCTTCTGTACCTGGATATTCCTTCAACACCCCCTTATGCCTCTCTCAGCCCCCAGTCCATAGACGTTGCTCTTCTTCACTTTCCTTCCAGGTCTATGAAGGCAGAGGCCATGTCTGTCTGTCTTATAAATCATCATTTCTGCAAGCTCTAACATGTTGTTGCCATGTAATTAGGCGTTCAACAAATATTTATTGACTGAACAGAGAGATGTCCACCTAGCATTTATCATACTCTATATTACACAGGAATCTAGAGTTCAAGTGAATCTAGAGTTCAAGACTTTAGAAACACTCCTAAAATTGGCTTAAGTGAACATGGAACTTGTGGCTTACATAACCAACAGGTCCAGAGTAAATGGCTCCAGGCACGACTGACTCCAGATGCCCCAAGTATGTCATCAGGAACCTCCTTCTATTTCCTGTTGTTGTTTTATTTCTGTCGGCTTCATTTTCCAGTCATGAGCTTGGGGGCCAGATAGAGTTCATTCTATTGGACCCATCTGAACCCAGAGGGGTGGTGGTGAGATGAACTAGAGGAAAAATGAAGCTGGCAAAATAACAGATGTCCTTCACTCTTCCGGGCTGTGGGCTTCAAGTTCAGGGACCTCTCTCATCCCTGTGTTTCCAGTATCTGTTCCAGAGTCTGGCATACGGTAGGTGCTCCGGAATGTTTGTGAATGAACAGATGTGGGATTTATTTTCCCTCACTTCTAGGAAGGAGCTTCTTTAAGCCAACAAAGGCAGATGGTTGTGCATAAACTGCCTTCGGCCTCATCCTCTGTTTTGCTTTCTTTTTACCTGTTGGCAGGATCCAACGTCTACCTTCTTCCAGTTTGGAGCGTCCATCCAGCAGCAAGTCACCGTCATGCTGAAGATCATGCAGGATTATGACTGGCATGTTTTCTCCCTGGTGACCACCATCTTCCCTGGCTACAGGGACTTCATCAGCTTCATCAAGACCACGGTGGACAACAGCTTTGTGGGCTGGGACATGCAGAACGTGATCACACTGGACACGTCCTTCGAGGATGCAAAGACACAAGTCCAGTTGAAGAAGATCCACTCCTCCGTCATCTTGCTCTACTGTTCCAAAGACGAGGCCGTCCTCATCCTGAGTGAGGCCCGCTCCCTCGGCCTCACTGGGTACGATTTCTTCTGGATCGTCCCCAGCTTGGTCTCGGGGAATACGGAGCTCATCCCCAAAGAGTTTCCATCGGGACTTATTTCTGTCTCCTACGATGACTGGGACTACAGCCTGGAGGAAAGGGTGAGGGACGGCCTGGGCATCCTGACCACTGCTGCATCTTCCATGTTGGACAAGTTCTCCTACATCCCCGAGGCCAAGGCCAGCTGCTACGGGCAGATGGAGAAGCCAGAGGTCCCACTGCACACGCTGCACCAGTAAGAGGGGCTCTTTGCTTGTCCGCCAAAGTGGAATCAGAGTTTTGTTGTTGTTTGTTTAAATACTAAAAACGATATGTACTCATTGCTGAAAATGTGCACTGAAAATAGAGAATGTTGTGTGTGTGCCTGTGGGATTTGTTGGTTTGTTCTCTCCCCTCTTCCTCTCGTCTCATCTCCTTTTGTTTTTAAGTAACATCATCCTTGGTTTTCTGCAACTTACATTTTTTACTCAACGTATACCCTGGGAACCTGCACCTGAGATCTGTTTGTCTGTCTATCTATCTATCCGTCCTCTATCCATAGCTATATCTTAAGTATGTGTGTATATATAGATATATGTATGTATATACATGCCTATCTATATACACATGTATGAATATATGTAGATGTATGTATATATACATGTGCATGTGAATATGCACAGATATATGTAGATATACATATGTATGTGTATATATAGATATGTATGTATGAATATCTACGTTCTTTGTAAACTGCACATGGCATTCCTCAATAGGGATATACCATGATTTATTTATCCAATCTTCATAATAATAGAAATTTATGTTGTTTCAGCTTTTTTTCCATTAGAAACTAAACTGCAGTGATAATCATCCTTACCTGTCTCTTCGTGCACATGTGCAAATGTTTTTCTAGGGTTGATTCTAAGAAGTAGAGTTTTGTGGTCATGGAACAAGTGCATTTTAAAATTTAAGTGTCTATTGCCAAATTGTCCCACAAAGTGACTATATATTTTATGTTCACACTAGCATTTTGTGAAATCACTCGACTTCCCACATCCTCACCAACACGTTACATGTTGGGGAAAGTGCCCACACTGGTGCTCCTAGTCTCAGAGTTTGTATCTGAATTTCCTCCCTTCATATGGCCTAAGTGTTTGTTTTTTTGTTTTTTTTTTTTTTGCGGTACATGGGCCTCTCCCGTTGCGGAGCACAGGCTCCAGACGCGCAGGCCCAGCGGCCATGGCTCACAGGCCCAACCGCTCCGCGCCATGTGGGATCTTCCCGGACCGGGGCACGAACCCGTGTCCCCTGTATCGGCAGGCGGACTCTCAACCACTGTGCCACCAGGGAAGCCCATGGCCTAAGTGTTTTTGTAGGCTGTTGGAAATCTTGGCAGACATCACTTTTAAATCTGCATTGTATTCCATCATATGGCTGTATCATAATTTAGTTAACTACTCCCATCTTGGTGGACATTTAAGTTAAATTTGATGTTTCCGAGAAGTGTCATTGTTCTTTGTGGGCCATCATTATGGTTCAGCTGTTGATATTTAGAATGATCACTCCTACACCCATTCTGCGTGTGTTTGCCTGATGTTCGTTGATTTAATCCATGCTCATTCTTCAGATAAGCAGTGTAGCACCATGATTAAGGGACTGGGCTGTGGAGTTGGACTTGTTAGGGTTCAAATCTTGTCTTGTCCACTTTCCATGTGACTTGGACAATCATTTTACCTTTCTCGGCCTCAGTTGTTCATTGCAAAATGATGGGGTGTTTTTTGTTTTTGTTTCTTCTTTTTTTTTGTAATTTTTATTTATTTTTGGCTGCTTTGGGTCTTCGTTGCTGTGCGCAGGCTTTCTCTAGTTGCGGCCAGCGGGGACTACTCTTTGTTGCGGTGCGCGGGCTTCTCATTGCGGTGGCTTCTCCCGTTGTGGAGCACGGGCTCTAGGCACGTGGGCTCAGTAGTTGTGGCTTACGGGCTTAGTTGCTCTGCGGCATGTGGGATCTTCCTGGACCAGGGATTGCCTAGATGGTGGTTCTTTCACTTCAACATGCATGAGAGTCACTGGGAGGGCTTGATAAAACAAGACTGCTGGGCCCCATGCTCAGAGTTTCTAATTCAGTAGCTCTGGAGTGGGCTCTAAGAATTTGCAATTCTAGCAAGTTCCTGGGTGATGACGATGTTGCTGGTCTGGGGAACATGCATTGAGAACCAATGTTCTAGGGGTTGTCCTGAGTATGAAATGAGGTGATGCATGAAGAGTGCCCCTTAGCATGGGTGCCTCGCACCTGGCAATTATTTAATGACTGTCGGAGTGAGCAGTGAAGTTGCTTTGGTCATCAGAAAGTATAGTCAGCAGACCAGGTGAGTTTATTATCAGTAGAATAACATGTCACTCTAAAATGTCTCTGGAAGGTTTTAGGACTCTGAATCTGCTACAGTTCAGGGATAATCTCTGGTCTGCAGCTAGTGGGGTGTCTGTGTGTGTGTGTGTGTGTGTGTGTGCGTGCGTGCGTGTGTGCGTGTGTGTGTGTGTGTGTGTGTGTGTGATGGAGGAGGCTTAAAGATTTTACCTGAAACTGACATTTATCCGAAAAATGAACTCTTAGGTTAGGAAATCATGGTCCTTTGAAATTTTCCCTTCCTCTCTCCTCTTTCCCTCTTTAATGATCTTGTTTCTACGTTGCTACTTTCAGCATTTTTAATAATTGTCCAGGTATCAGGAAGGAACTAGGATAAATTGGTATGAGTCACGGGAGTGTCTTACAGAGGCAGGATTGCTGCCAGCCCAAATGAATTCTCACTTCCCATAATAAGTGCCTTGCAGCTGGAATATTCGTATAATTCTGATGGAAACATAACTCAATTGTAGGGCAATTGAAATATAATATATACAGGAAGAGGAACTTGAGAAGGATAATTGGCAAGACATTCAGATCTCTTTCTAGTGACCACCCTGAATTCCACTCCTTAAAAAAAAAAAATTCTACTCCTGTGAAATCCTGGTGTGCTCTTTCCAGGAGTTATGCTTTGAATGCAGCAATGTTGTAGGTGGTATTTCAGCCGCAGAGAAGTAATGCATTAAGTGTGGTAAGCCGTCATCCACCGCCTGGTTTTTTTTTTGTTTTTTGTTTTGCGGCATGCTGGCCTCTCACTGTTGTGGCCTCTCCCGTTGCAGAGCACAGGCTCCGGACGCTCAGGCTCAGCGGCCATGGCTCACAGGCCCAGCCGCTCCGCGGCATGTGGGATCTTCCCGGACTGGGACAGCGGCCATGGCTCACGGGCCCAGCCGCTCCACGGCATGTGGGATATTCCCGGACTGGGGCATGAACCCGTGTCCCCTGCATCGGCAGGCGGACTCTCAACCACTGCGCCACCAGGGAAGCCCCCACCACCTGGTTTTAATGAAACATTTCTCCACCCTTGGAGCACTGGTGGCGCTCAGCCACAGTGTGTAGGGCTCAACCAGTATGTGGGTTCTTCGCCACACTTCCCCACTAGCACAGTGTTCCTTAAGCCCACCCAGGAAAGAGTGGGACCTTGCGAAGCAAGACAAGGACCAGGAGCTGGAGAAAGCCCCAAGACGCAGTTTTTAAGAAAAGGATTAAGGGCACTATATCTCTATCCTCCATCCATCACTCCTTCTATCCAGCGAACCCTGTGCTAGCCTCTGGAATCATATATGAATTAACATATAACTTCTCAAAGAATGTACAGTCTGATGAAGATGGGGGAAATTCGTCTAAAGACAAACTCAGGTAACAAGGGCTTTTTTTCTTTTTTTTTTTTTTGCGGTACGCGGGCCTCTCACTGTTGTGGCCTCTCCCGTGGCGGAGCACAGGCTCCAGACGCACAGGCTCAGCGGCTACGGCTCATGGGCCCAGCCGCTCCGCGGCATGTGGGATCTTCCTGGACCGGGGCACGAACCCATGTCCCCTGCATCGGCAGGCGGACTCTCAACCACTGCACCACCAGGGAAGCGCAACAAGGACTTTTTTTAACATAGAAAAGAAAAGAATAGTAAAAAAAAGTAGAGTCTAGCAAGAGGGAGAAGATATGGGAACACATGTATATGTATAGCTGATTCACTTTGTTATAAAGCAGAAACCAGCACACCATTGTAAAGCAATTCTACTCCAATAAAGATGTTAAAAAAAAAAGTACAGAGTCTGATGAAACACCCACCCCCATACTCACCCCAGAGAACAAAGTGAACATGTCATATTTGTTTCAAATTTTTAAAAGAAATAAAACATTTCTGATAATGTAGAAAGTCCTGATTATACCTCTCCCCAGCCCCACTCTTCTCCCTTTCTCTCCATGAGAGAGAAAAACACCACAGTGAATTTGGTATGTATCTAAATCCATGTGCATGTTTTGTACTTTTGATACAGATACAGTGCGACCTTAGACCCAATGGGTAGTTCTTTTTAATATCATAAGTGGTATCTAATGTGCTGGAATTTCCTTTACCTCAACCTATGGCTCAAGCATGATCTATGAGGACACATATAAAACTAGTGTATTCATCTTAGTTGCTTTTTTGTATTCTGTTGTATGTGTTCTATCTTTTATTTAATCAGCCCCCTTTGATGGACATTTAGGTTGTTGACAGTAAGGAATCTTCAGTCTGGGTAGCTCAAGGCAGAGAACACATGTGTCTGCAACCTGATTCGGACCCATCAGCTTGAGTTAGGAGTTCTCACTTAAAGCTTTAAAAAGTTACATTTTCAGCTGGTTTAAAAAGTCTCATTTTGCAAAGCATCTGTAAACAAATAGCTCTCATCACTCCCACTCTGCAGTAGGGAGGATGCAAATAGCTTCAGAAGAGGTTCAGGTGAAGTCACGCCTGATGGTTTCATGGTGAGTTGCTGAGGGATCGGGGGTCCTGCTTTGACTGGTTGAGTTCTACATCTTGGGGCTAACTAGGTGTGTCCCTCAGTGGCCTTCACGGACGTTGCTTGTAATCTTATACACAGAGTTTGTACAGTTAAAATATTGTCACAATGGTTTACTGCTCACAGTGATGGACCAGGTACAAAGGGTCTGCTTGCCGGGTTAATGATCCTACCATGGACCTGTGTCTGTTCTTGTTTCAGAAAAAAAAAAGTGGGGAAAAGGGGAAATGTTCTTTATGTTTAATATTCTGGTTTTACAGAAGGCACTTTGAAAAGAGCAGTCAGCGTTTTCCAAAGTTCAAAAATAGCTCAGCCATGTTATGTAACCGCCTCCTTGCTACTGCAGAGTTATT